AAAGTGGGCCAAAGTGAGCGTCTGGGTTAAAGTGTTGACAGTCAGCTGGGCCTGGATTTTGAAAACTAGAGAACAGATCATGAAAGAAGGTTTAAAACGGTGTAAGACACAAGTAAATGAGTAGAATTAAGACGGTACGAGTTGAATAATTAAGGTGCAATCTGTAGTGAGAGCCAACGGATGGTAAAATAAACTGAGAGAGAAGTTGGTTGGTGTTGAGGAGAAGAGAGAAGTGATTAATGCTGTGTGACTTTTCACAAGGGGGTGAGAAAGGTAGAAGTGAAATACTCCCCCCTCCAGACACACAAACTCTTTATCTCTCTCACACACCGCTGCTGGTTCACGCATCTGACTCATGAACATATTTACAGGCAAGGCACCATTTCAGGGACTATTTTGTGGAAGAAATACAGTTCATATTAGAGTACTGTAAAAATGTTTATAATTTTAAGATAGAGATATTCAACTTTTAGTTTTCTGCCTCCACACAATACAATTGAGGCGAATTGATTTATATTTGTGGTGCCCGCAGCTATGAACATTTACACTTTAACAAGTGTAAGAGAAAACAGCTCTGCTAACAGCTCTTTGGTGTGTTGAGCAAGCTAACATGTTGATGTTAAGCAGGCACAAAATTGAATTTGTTAGCATCTTAGTTTAGCGTGTAAACATCCTAACATATAACGATGTGTTAATCTGTAAGTAAGTACAGTTAAAACATGCAGCAATTGCAAAATATTGGTTTTTATTCATGGTCTTAGTGCCCATACAGAAGATTACTATTCAAATGTAATCTGTAAATTCTATATTAAGATAACCGAATAGGCAGAATTAGTATTTAAACGTTTTCAGTGCCAAGAAGTTGAGACACAGAACATTTTACAAAACGTATTGGAAATGGTTTTCAAACTAGGATGTGCAATGCACCTACAGCAACATTTAATAATGAAGCCGTACTTGTCAAGCAATACTTTATAGGAAATTCTGTGTGCTGTGGTTTTGTCACCGCAGTACTAGAGGAAGTTATGTATTAATTTAGGTTAACTGACTATTTTGCAGTCAGGCAACATCAACACAGTTCTTACATAAAGGTATTACTCAGCAGGCTAGTGATACCTTGGTGATTAGACATACAGTATTTCAGCGTGGTAGAAAAATGTGCCCAGTGGAATCACAATATTCTTATAATAATGTATTTCTATTTGTGCAGATACCAACATCACCTCTTCTTCAGAGGCTGCCGTTCTTGAAGGCAATGGTAACCAAACAAATCTGACGACATCTCAGCCTCCAATCCCTCCGTCTGCGAGCCACGCCCCCACGTCTCACACCCCAACTACCTCCACCTCCACCGGCCCCACACACACAACTCACTCCACCAGTGTCGTCACACCGACCTCCACGCCACCCACAACAAGTCATAGCGCACCTGCAGTTGCTGACTCCGTTACAGCATCAAACCAAACCACTCACAGCACTTCTGTCCCAACACCTGAACCACCAAAGCCTGAAGCTTCCATAACTGCGATCATCATCTACTCCAGTTCAATGCCCACCACCAGCTCCTCTCAAGAGACCCCCAATTCTGAGTCAACGTCTCGGCAAAACACTCTACAGCCCGACGAACACCCTGAGACCCCCACCAAACCCCAACTTGAGACAACAAGCAACCCACCGAGCAGCCCCACCGCCAAGGCCGAACCCCTAGCCGATTTGCCGTCGCAGCTCATCGTTGGGGGTGATAGTAAGTGCCTCATATCTTCTGTTGTTAGTGCATGAAGTTCTTCTGCCGGGATATTGACAGAGCAAAAGTGAATTGGCTTCACAACAAAGGAGACACTGTTCTTTGTTTTCCAGCAGAAGCCAGTCCTCTACACACACAGACACTAACACAACCCCCGTCGACATCTTCTGCAAGCACTGACACCACCAGGCACTCTACAATTATGGCTGTTTGGGAAAGAGACAGAGGCAGTCATGGGACTCTGTTTTCTTTCTTTTTCTGTAGCCCTATGTTTGTTTGCTAAATGATTTTTATATCTACAGTATCTTACCTCCACCTTGAAAGGAATTTTACCAAGAAAATAAGGAAAACCTGATCACCTCTACCCACTGGACTTTTGGTTTCAGTTGAATTCCATATAAAATTCTCTCTGCTTCTCTAACTCTTTGTGGATTTATTAGGACATGCTTGGCACCTCGCCTCTTTCCACTAGCTAAAGGAACAGGATGCATCCAGTGCTCTGTGGTTGTTGCTACTTTAAAACAGTAAAGTTTACAGAAAAGTCTTCCATAGCAACACCCATATACAGGAATAAACAGACAAAAACGCAGAGAAAATGCTCAGAAATATGCAAACACTGAGAGACATCAACATAGAAAGGTCAAGAATGATGATGTAAGAGAGTAAACAGCACCCTTAGAGAAAACCTAAACATACTGTAGTGTATGCACATTCAATATAAACTACTGGATTCGAATTCTAAAAATAAATTGTATAATTGTGCCCTATAAATAAATTCAATTACTCAACCGAAGTACAGGAAAGCTTAACATCACCATCCTGTGTTTGACATTTCTGTCATGGGCTGCATGATGAACACTTGAGCTCCACATGCTGCTGGTAAATCTATATTTAGTTCCAGTCACAGCTTTACACAAGCTTCAGGAAGCGAAAATTCTTCTATTTGCACCACGTTAAATCCAATCCATCTTAAACGGTGTATTTCCGGGACATTTATTAGAGCTACAGCATGTCTAACAATGAACGTGTCCATCTCAAGTATCTCTTCTGTTTTCTACTTCCAGCAACGGTTGTCCGTGACTCTCCCACATTAGACCCCCTCCTGGCTGGCCTGGTTTCAGCCTTCATCATCACTGCAGTCATCATCACACTGCTCCTCTTCCTCAAACTGCGCCGGAGAGACAACAGACCAGAGTTTCGCAGGCTGCAGGACTTACCTATGGTAAGAGTTTGTGACATCCACTTTCAGTCCTGTCCCTGAAATATCAACTTGTTCAGATAATGTCCAGCACTGAGTTACTTTACTTACTAGTTCTAGTAGTATATCAAAGTTGAAACTAATGTCTTTCTAATGTTTAATGAATAATTTACTTTAATTATTTAAAGCTATAATATATAATAGCTGTGAATACTCAGTTGTGTTATTCCATTTCCATTTGTGCAGGATGATATGATGGAGGACACACCCTTGTCCATGTACAGCTACTGATGGATGCATGACAAAAAGAAATGCTAGCTCCCAAATACTCTCCTTGAAGCCAGGCTTACGCCACAGCTGTGCAGAACCTGGCAATTCTTCAGCAAAAACACAAAGCATTCTGGGCAGGTGTGGGGAAACCTCTGGATGCTTTCATTTATCTTGATCCCTGACATTAAGGAAAGGACATGATTAAAGCTGCAATGGACAATGAAGAAATCGCCCATGTTGGGGTCCTTTTGGCAAAACGTCATGTTGGTCCCAGTAATTCGAAATTAGGCCTCTGATGAATAATGTATGCTTAACATTTTTCCGCCCCTCATTCGGGACTGGGGAGATGGTATAATATATTTTGATTTCCCTAGAGTTGAAAGGGTCTAAAGCAGGAGGCAAAATCATCAGTTGCATTCATCATTTGGACGGTTCACACCTGGACGGATTCAGCCTGTCCTGCCAGACTCTCACCGGAGGGTACTGGTCTAATTTCCCTGTTATAAGTTAGCGGAAAGTCTGGCAGGCGTACGGAGAAGCCTGGGAAAAGAAATGAACATAACAAATGGCCTGATTATAGTGTTAAAAAAGTTGCACTTTACTTTTTCAGGAGTGGAAAAAATGAGAAATGTGTTTGTGTATGGGAAAGATTGAGCTTGTGTATGTGTATGTGTGTGAGTCTGAGGGGCATATGTGTATTTTTGAAGGCGTTATGGGGGATATTTAAGTGTTTTTTTCTTTTGTTCATTTTCGATGTTTAAGATCCTGCTGCCTTTTAGCCTGATTTTGATATGTGCAGTGTGAGTTTTTGTTTCTTTCCCGGAGTCTTGTGTCCAGGGGAGAGTGCCTTACACATCTTATGAACAGCTCTTAATGCAAACTGTATTTATATTCAAGCCAACTAACGTCCACATTTATCAGTCATTCCCAGGGCTTTGTGTGATTCCCATTCACACGCACATATAGTGCCAGGTTGCTGCTCTGACTTGCCTGTGATTGAACACTCGCCTTGAGCAGGTTCCCCATCAGGCCCTCATTCATACAGTGTCAGCTGCAGACTGAAATAGGCCCGTGGCTTACCACACAATGTTAGCATTGTCCTGTACTACTGATGATTGCATCATGCAAAGACAACTTCATGAAACTCTTCATGCTGTTTCAGCGGTTCTTCAGCCACAGACCTGAAAGCACCTTGTTGTCGCAGTAGGCAATTTCACAAATATTCCATTAATAATAAAATAATGTAGCAGCCTAATTGTATGTGCTTTGTGTAAGTGCAGGAAAATGGGAGTGGAAATTAGAGACAGTCAATAGAAATAAATTGGAGCTAAAACTTGCGTCCTCAATTTAAGTTTGGAGCCCTGAATAACTACAGATGGATGACAAAATGAAGGGAAAGAAATGAACATAAAATGTGGGGTGTTCATAAGTACTTAAATGCATGTCATAGATCATCGACTCAAGGAGGGATGACTCTTGAAAGACATATTCTGTCGTTTATTTTTTTGAAACTCGTCACCCCTCTGTACATCCGATTCTAAATGATACTCTATATTTCTGATACGTGTCGAACGTGTGTAAGTATCCAGAGAAGGCTTTTCGCTGCCAGATGTTGATTTTGAGCTGTTTGTGTTTTATGATTAAAAAGATTTTGAAACCCTCCCATGCTTTTCAGATCTCAATTATTAACAGTTTGTTATTAAGTGCTCTCTGACTGCAGCACCAACAAAACAAAAACTGAACAGTGATCTACAGAAGCAACCACAGAAGGTCAAGCGTCTCTCCTACAACTTTTACACAGCCTTTTATTGTTTGAGACAGAAACACAAAACATTTCCATACAGACATTCAATGAATGAATAAGAGCACTGCTTTACTGCAGCACCAGTACACAATACTTGGCAAATGCATTACAACTGCAGTAGAATGGTCTGATTCATCAGCCAGTATCTGGCCACAACAACAAATAAATGAGTCTTTTCTTCATTAAATGTTTCTTTAACCACAATCTTAAAAGGAGTGTCTTAGAAAAGGATTGTTAAAATACTGTTACGTACCGCTCTGTGCCAGTTACTGTTTCCTGGAAGGTCTTTTATTGCTTAATAATGATGACTAGTGAGATGTCTTGGTAGATGAGCTGGATAGTGTCTATAATCACTTTCAGTCCCAGCCTCCAAATCCACACCCCACTGAACATCTAACCTGCCTATTGCCCCCCACGGCTCTGCTCTATGGTCCGGGATCTTGGTGGGGGGTGTCTGGATACTGAAATATTAAACAGCTTGACACCAAGCCTGGCACAGTGTGTGACTCATGTCGGGCATAAAGGGACTTTGGAATGTTTTAACTGGGCTGTGGGTATTCAAATACGTGTTGGTGCCTCAATAATGTTTATAGATTTCTGATTCCTCTTTGTCTTCACTTCACCTGCATTACCAGGAATCAAAACCCCATCCCTCATCAGGTTTCCCCTGGATGGAAGAGTGCATTATCTCAGGAAGAAAAAAGTCCATTAAAAAATCCATTACTCTGCTACACTGAAGGGTGTAGCTTACATTTAGTACAAAAACAACAGGACTTTAAAGCTGACTGTGAATCTTGATACATTACTGTACATCAAGTAGTGTCAAAGCCTACATCAACGTGCATTTTCACAAGTTATTTATGATATAACAAATGGATTGATACAAATGACCAACTTGAGGAAGTATATGTATACTGTGGTCTCTGTTTTTGCTACTCAAATGCAGATTTTCTAATGGATCCCACTGTAATTATGGTAAGAGGGGAATGTCCTGCAGACCCAAACTTCACCAAAACCGTGCCTATCCCAAACAATCTGTAATCAGGAGAGCCCGAAATATAACTATTTTTTATATATTCTGACTGAAAATAAACCTTGTGGTTTAGCCAACCAATTACAGCGCTTGGTTCTCTCCTTGACTCTGGCAAGACCCATCATTTATCTCCAGTGACGCGCGTGGGTGCAGCGGGTGTGGCAACATTGAAAGTTTCATATCCTAAGGGGAATGACTGATTTCAAAACTGTGGGCAAACGGTTAACTCAGTCAGCCTTACAGTAGGAAAGAAAGCTGAATACAATAAATGCGACTGTTCAGGCACAAAGATACCCACCAGCATGAAAACTGTTTCTCTCACAAAGAATCACAAACAGCTGCCTGCCTCTTCAGTGTGTTCCCAGCATCCAACCAGTCTGAGCATGTGTGAGCTAAAGGGGATTAACTAACTAACTCGATGGCAGGAAAACAATGCTAAAGCTTTTTGTGGTTTGTTTCAGAACACTGTGGTAGAAGGAGCCTGGGTGTGCCACAGGGGACAGGACAGTTTAACGAATACAGTATATCAGGAAGAAAGAAAAAAACTCCCTTAAAACTTCTGGTATTCTCACAAATAACTGGTTAAAATATCATTAGAGAATTCCCCTTATTAATAGAAAGTCTCCACATTAGAATAAACGATGCATTACTTACATATATAGGCAGGTCTATAGAAGGTATAACATTTAACTTTTCAGTGTTAAGATGTCTAAAAACGACGAAAATAACAAGAGAAATCCTCCATTGTAATAAAGGTAACGGCATTCAATAAAGTCTCCTGTATTGGCGTTGTATCACCATTGTGCAAAATCAGCGTTGTAGAAACCAGATGGTGTCATAAATAGTATCCAGTTTTAAGCGGCAGTTTTTTACTTGCACGCAATCGTAGATGCATTTAATACCTTTATATTTATATAGGATGAATACTTTTAGTCATTGGACATCTTGATCTTAAGTTATCCGGGGGCTTAACTAAACAAACATTCATAGCGATTCAATATATGCATGTATAATAATGACACTTGAAGCCCCTCTATCATGTCTATCTATAGTCTGCCTTAGAGCATCGGAGATACAATGATTTTAACGTGAAACTGATGTGTGTTCTTTCAAGTTTACACCACCTGGTCTATTTGCATCAAGTCAAGTCATCCTAATTATGAGAGGCTGTCTGCAAGGATGGTGAAGACTCCCATGATCCTAAGTTACGTAACTACACCACCAAACTCCGTGTTTGTTTGGATTGAGAGACCCACAACAGCAGAAAATTACATATTGTGTGTTTAAGCAATAACACTAAATAGGATGACTTAATTACTTGTTATTATTTGTGTGTGCCTCTGTTTGATGCCAAGTCTGCTGTTTGCTGTTCTTTGTTTCCTTACCCTTGAGACCACAAAGGAAATGAGCCATATGGCGGTTTCTGTTAACCTGAATACTTCTATTTTTTTGTTTTGGGTTTCAGAATAGAGGTTAAAACTCCTTATTGTACTGATGGTATCAATTTAAAAGAAATAACTCATATCAGGTAGTGTATTGGAGAGCCAGAAAAAGTCTTCATGTTGCTGAATCCTTCCCAATTCAAATAACAGAACAGTCACTTTATAAAGAGGTCAAAGGTCAGCAAGACTGAGGTCTGATTCTAAATCTGGGTGTACGTCTTCGTCAAGGAGATCATCGCCATCGTCGAGATCTGATCCGGGGCCAGCAAAGTCGCTCCGTGTGGACTGAACGCTCAGACGCACCCGCGGCTCCTGATGAAGAGCTGGCAGAGATGAAGAGTGGAGAAGGAGCAGTTACTTTGTGTGTGTGACTGACTGAGTGCCTCTTGTGGGATTAAGGCTGGAAGACATTCAAATGTTTTCTCATAACAAGTGTGTGCCAGTACGAGTGTGTTTCTGTGTGTGTATGCAATTGTCAAATTAGCCAGGCTCCATAGGCCCAAGTCACTCTGGGAAACATTTAGAGCAGAGATAGTAATCTCTTCCGGGAACATTGACACACACACACACACACACACACACACACACACACACACACACACACACACACACACACACACACACACACACACACACACACACACACACACACACACACACACCACACACACACACACACACACACACACACACACACACACACACACACACACACACACACACACACACCACACACACACACACACACACACACACAAACACACACACACACACACACACACACACACACACACACACACACACACACACACACACACACACACACACACCACACACACACACACACACACACACACACACACACACACACACACACACACACACACACACACACACACACACACACACACACACACACACACACACACACACACACACACACACACACACACACACACACACACACACACACACACACACACACACACACACACACACACACACACACACACACACACACACACACACACACACACACACACACACACACACACACACACACACACACACACACACACACACACACAGAGAGAGAGAGAAATCACGAGCTATGCAGAAACTGTGGGAGAGGCTATTAGAGCCTTACGGCTTCATCTGCTCATAGACACACACTGGGTCTACACTCTGGATCACAATGGTACTGCACATCTAGATCCATTTACTCAATTCTGTTATATCACTCATTTTGAAATGTTCTTTATTTTTTCTGTTTTCATCACGAGATATCCCCTTTTGATTTAGTTAAAGAAAAAGTTTGTCATTTTGTGAAATAAGCTTATAGACATTCTTGCTGTGAGGAAGACGAGAAGAAACAGCCTTATCTTAATTCAGCATAAACACTTGAAACAGTGGGAAACAGCTAGCTCTGTCCATAGGTAACAACATCCACCTACCAGCACCTCTGAACTCAATAATTAACTTTATCATTTGCCTAATTTACACATAAACTGCGTAAAGGGTAAGGGTAAAAACAACCCAGCAGTTTGACAGACAGCAGTGTGGAGGACTTATTCTTGGATAGCATCTGAGACTTCCAGGATTCCTGTCGTCACTGTGAGGCTGCGAGGCAATTAGCAGCGACTCCAGAGGAGATGTGAGAGTAATATCGATCCTTTCATCTGACTCACGGTAAGAGACAAATACGAATTTTTCCCCAACATGTCTAAGTGCTCAAACTATCTCTTGTCTGAAATGGCAAACAGCCGAGTGCTGAGCCAGATCGCCTGGGATAAATCAGAGTGAAGGTTGAGCCAGATGTGTGGGGGAGGGGAAGGAGGGGGAACTACATGTCCCATCTTGCTTGAACTGCCATCACTCTCCGTCCATCTGGTGCCCTGCACAACATTCTCTCTTGGTTGGAGCGAGTGATCATATTGTCACGACATGTTTGAGTTAGTGGGCCGAATACGAATAATGGAAACACCTGGAGTTGATGAGTCAGCACCAGAGGTGGGAAGTAGTGGAGTACAAATACTTCGTAACTGTACTTAAGTACATTTTGCTGGTATCAGTACTTTACTCCACGGCGACTTTTTACTTTTACTTCTTACATTTTTAACACAAATACCTGTACTTTCTACTTGTTACATTTTCAACACAGGTTTATTACTTTAGTTTTAATCTGTGTTTAGAGGCGTGATCATTATTATTTAGAGTCATTGCGTGCCTATTGATTTTAACACAATCCGTGTATCCATCATTTCCTGGTCTTCTCTAAAGAAGAGGGACCAATGAGAACTTTGTCATTTCATTTCATTTCAAGCCTTTATTTATCCAGGTGTATCCCTTGAGATCATTGATCTCTTTTTCAAAGGAGACCTGCTCATGTTGCCGTTGTTCAGCATCGAAACATTCATTAGCTAACAATGACATTATTGTTCTATTAATATAAAGGGAGGTCAGTTACTCTTTAAAACAGTTGGTAGTTATTGGTACTTTTTACTTAAGGCGAGACACCCCAGGTGAATAGGGTAATTTTTTTAACTTAAAAGGTATCAGCTAGAAATTTCTCCAGTTAATTACTTACAATAAGGCAATTGTCTTTTGTATTACAAGTTTTCTGAAATAGCATGTTTAAATATGCAAATTATCCATTATCTCATTAAATATGCACATATTTTAACACATTTCAGGAATCGAAATCTGAACTTTGGATATAGCCAGATTCAAAATTCTTGTTTCATTTTGTAGTCATATTAGTATCTAAGGCTTTTACAGAAGGGATATTGGATATCTCTTTTTATCATTCCATAAATCAGAAAATACTGTCAACAGCCCTAAAATATCCATTTTCGCCATGTTTTTAGGTATACAATGTTGTATAATTCAGGCTATGAATTATATATGAACAAACCCTTCTGTAAAAGCCTTCATAATATTGATAGGAATATAACTGGAAGGTTTGGTGTCTCTACGTGCTACTGAAGTTGAAATTTCGAACTCAGAGTAGGAGAAAAAACTCATTTTGAGAAAACGACCTTTAAAGATTGCAGTGAGGCGCTAGCTAAACCCTCCTGTTCTTTGAATGACAGCTTGCGCATCGACGCACTCCGTGAAGGTATTTCATGTTCAGGGTCATTTTTTTATATATAACCTTGCTTCGTGCAAGTGACAATTGTTGTCGTCTTCTCTGTGAACGTTTTTTTCGCCGTTCTTTTGGCATTTTGAGATTTCAATTTCTAGCTGAAAGCTAACCAGGAAGTGTTTTAGCACACCACGTGACGCATCTGAACGAATCACGTTGTCAGAAATTGACACCAGCCAATGAGATTTCGTTTCTTGGTTTAAGACCCCTTTGTGCTTTCACGATTGGTTGCTGATACAAAGGAAATGACCATATTTGGATCCGATGAGATTGTGCAGGAGAGACACAGCTTTCCAGCGATACCTCTGTTGACATGGTGCACACAGCGGTCGCGGTACTTTATGTTACGTTAGAATGCTAACTTTTGGTGAAATTAGGAGAAATCTACAGACGCAAATAGACAAACTATAGTAAAATAAACACTTAAATGTGTATTTTGTACGTTTTCCTTCCAAAAGCCTGAAAGAAAACATGTTATGGAATCAAAATAGCACAACATCTCAAAATTGACCAGTACTTGAAAAACGATGTTTTTGCCTGCCGTGTCTCGCCTTAAGTACATTTCGAAGTCCATACTTCTTTACTTTTCATTGTGTGAAGAAGTTTAGTCAGTATTTTTAAACACGAGTATCAGTACTTCTACTTGAGTAAAGGATGTGTGTACTTTTACCATCTCTGGTCAGCACACTGTACTAAAGTACCTGTGGATGCACAATGAACCCATGTTTGGGTCATTTCGATTTTATTCAGAAATCATTCGTCCTCACCAGGGTCTTTATCATCGAGCCATGACAGATCATCTGAGCTGATCTCAGCCAGGCTCGGCGTCGGGCTGAAGTCCTCCGAGTCAGAGTCCGCCTCGACTCTGCCCCCCCGACCGAGGCTGCCAGGGAGCGGGAGAGGAGAAGCACCTGAATGAAATAGAAGCACATGGTTTAATATTTGTATCATCATATGTATTTAATGTGGGGGTTTGTTTTAGTTTGTTTGCATTCCAAGGTTCAAATCGGGTTTGTATTTTAAACTAGTTTTGACTTTAGTTTGTTTGTTTCAGTTTTTAAGTGGCTACATACTCATACAATACACATTACATTACATTACATTACATTGCATTTAGCTGACGCTTTTATCCAAAGCGACTTACAATAAGTGCGTTCGTCCAACAAAATACAACTTGAAGAAAACAGAATCATAAAAGTACATAGAGCAAAAACATTTCAAGTGCTACTCAACTGGCTTTAGAAAAGCCAGCCCTTTATTAGTATAAAAGTGCTTCGTTAATAGTTCTATCGCTCGAAGTGGAGTCGAAAGAGATGAGTTTTCAGTTTGCGCCGGAAGATGTGCAAGCTATCTGCCGTCCTGATGTCAATGGGGGAGAGAACTGTATGAGAATGTCTGAAATGCCTTACGCAGCGTCCACACGGCGGCGTGCGTTGAGGCTTGCCGGCGGGCGTGTCTGAAGCTCGACCAACAACCAATCACATGAATCTCCCGCCCCGGACACACAAGCAGGCAGTTGATTGGCTAGAGCTTGTACTGGCATATGATTTTATTGGCTGAAGCTTCCGTCGAAGCTTCAAAAGTTGAACATTGCTCAACTTTTGAAGCGAGCAACGCGAAGCGACGCTCCCACAATGCAGTTCGGCAAAGCATGACGTCACCCCATTCAAAGTGAATGGGCAGAAGAGTTGAAGCTTCAAAGCACGCCGTCACGTGTGGACGGGCCGCTACTCGCTTGCACTACCGTCTGGAAGACCAGAGCTGAATAGCTTAGTTGAGTGGCATTTAATCTACTACATTATTTAACTTCTGTTCTTGTTATTTAGTTCTACAGAAAGACAGAAATTCACGCCGTTTCATGTTTTTCATCAGCGTGTTAACGTTGTTGTTTTGAAGTGTTTAAACCAGGCAATATCTTTGCAGTTTAGTCTCAGTTTTTTTAATCGGATATTGTTTTTATTTAGTTTTATTGTTTTTCATTACTTATTTTCCTTTTAGTTGCCATTTACAATAATAATTGTAAGTGTTTGTAAGTGTGTGTGTGTGTGTGTGTGTTTCTGTGAGGGCAACAAGAGGAGTGAGACTTGCCCGAGGAGTGCGACAGCAAAGGTGTCGTTTGATGTTCTTTGAGGATGAGTCTCCTGAACTCTTCCTTCATTTCTGACACAGTTGTTCTGTTGTTTATACATAAATAAGAGATTAATTGCAAGTTAATTCACAGACAGACGAACACACACACGTGTGTACATGCTCGCACACGTACCTGATCTGTCGAACCTCCTGTTGTGTGTGAGAGTACTGAGAGACAGTCTTCACCAGATCACTGCTGTGAGATCTGTAGCTGTCTGTCAGCTCCTCCAGCGTCTGAACAAAGAACACCAATGAGAGGTTCAGGATCTGAGAGAATAAAACCACACAGAGGAGCAAACACAAGCCGCGTGGTATAATGTTGGTGTGTGTGTGTGTGTGTACCTTGCAGCTGTGTTCGTACTGTCTCCGGGTCTCTCTGGCTTCTGCCTGCTGGAGGAACGCGTCCTCCCCCTGTCTCCCTGTCAGGTGCAAAGAAAGAGCAGATGATGTGAACAAGACTGTGCCTGCCTCTGCTTTTGAGCCCAGCATTGGGTTTAGTCTCGCAGAATCAATGCAGGGCATGATGTTGTGTGTGTGTGTGTGTGTGTGTGTGTGTGTGTTTTGCTCACTTAGCTGTGTTTTCAGTTGGTCCACCTCTCTCCGCAGGTGTTCCAGTTCCTCTCGGCGGAGCTTAGAGCTGAAACTGTAGGAAAGAAATGAAGTCAACATAAGGTATCCAAACCAAATCTCCCTCTTTCCACACAAACCCAGCACACAACAGGTAGACTGAATACCTTAAACCACAACCAGGTGCCGGAAGAGACTAATTGAGGTGTAAACAAATGTAATATAATAGAAACAATCAACAACAACAAAATAACCGTTTTCTCTCCTACAGTGGGGATCATACCTGAAATGAAAATGTCCTAGCAGCAAACCGAGGTGTAGACATTTTCATTTCAATCTTGAGCACCTATAATCACTTTACTACACAGTTACACCCCTCCAGCTCCACCCATAATGCACCTCTCCTCCAGGTTGCCTAGCGACGTGGCTCTGGTGATGTGTCCCCGCAGACTGCTCAGCTCACGCCCCACCTCCCTCCTCCACTGCTCCATCCTCCTCTCGGCTCCTGGACTGTGATCACTCCTCGATTCGGCCCGAGTCCTCCGCTCCTCACGCAGCTGCTGCACCTCCTCTGGAGAAGAACAGAGGGTTACTTTTAGGAAGAGATTTATTTTTCCCCCTTAGCAGCCTTGAGAACAAATCGTAATGATTTATTCATGTATTTAATTATGGATGAACCCTTCTTTGATGAGTGTACTTTGCTTTTACAGACATTAGTAGCGGAGAGTGAATGAAGACGGGAGGATTAGTAGGATATTAACTGAATGACACAGTGAACAATTATTTGTAAACATCATTATCATAGTTGTACATTTATTCACTTAGCAAACTCTTTTCTACACCAACATAGATAGGAGGTACAAAACAAGCCACAGTAGATCTAGGATAGACAAAGATCAAACATCTTTAATGAAAATAAATTAGACCTTGTCAGAGAAATGTGGTTATTTTTCTCACTTGTTCAATGAAATGTAAATCATGTTGCTTAATGACTCAGTGAGGCTTTTGCTACTAGTTCCACTCACGGTCTTATTATCTGAGATATACTAAATACAACTGATAGTATGCAGAAGTCTGAGCAAAAATTGATAAAAGTGTATTTAATGTAAGCTCAACAACAACACAGTTGACCCAAAGTGTTTATAAGACCCCAAGGAAAAGAGTGAAACGGATAAACAAAAGAAAAAGTTACATGCAGTTAAAGGCAAGGCAATTTGATTTATATAGCACTTTTCAGCACGTGGTGATTCAAAGTGCTATACAAAATAAAAACAAAAGACATTTAAGAACAAATACAGCATAAATACATTATGAAATGGCATTTAAAAACAGGCATAAAAAGCAAAGATAATGAAATAAATAAAATAAATAAACACAGCAGGTGCAGAATACATGACTAAAAGGCATACTGTAGTGTGAGTATGAGCAGCTCAATTAAAAGCAGCGGCAAATAGATTTAAAAATAGGAAGTGTTTCAGCGGACGTGCACGATTTGGGCAGTTTGTTCCAGATTGTTGGGGCATAATAACTAAAAGCTGCTTTTCCATGTTTAGTTGTTATTCTCGGAACAGAGAGCAGACCCGACCCATTTTAAGGGAAATAAATGAAAGTGTGTTTAAGTTATTTAAGGACTGAGATCATTCAAACAGAAGGAGGATTAAGTTAAATTGAAAGGATTGATAATCATTTCGTGTTAGAACATTATAATAATTACTTTCAACAATAGACAGGACTCAGGTGTTGCTGTGTTTGCGGGGGGATAATGTGACCCGGTATAGAATGATGTAAGAGGTCATGGTCAGTAGGTTACCTTGTAGTGTCTGGACGTCACATTGTTGAGACTGTCTCTCCTTTTCCACGTCACGGAGTCTCTGGGTGAGAGACTCAATTGTCTTGAAACAAATTAAGAAAAACATGTTTTAATTCTGTCACTGATATCTCTAAACGCTCAGGGACCAGTTTATTAGGGACATCTGAATAATCTAGCAGAAACCAAGTGTGCTGCCTTAAAAAATGTACTTTAATGGTTGGTAACAAGTGACATGTAATGGTATACTTTAAGTTTTCTGACAGTATCACAGTTTTTTTAAACTTTAGTACAGTTTGATTGCAGAGATCAAATAAGAGGGAGAGGGCTGAGTTGGACTTTTTACAAAGACCAATGTTTTCTTGACATCTGAATATGCTAAATCAAATCAAAAATAGTGACATTCATAAAGTCATCCACAGTAAACTTGAGAGGATTTAATCCTGCTCCATGTTGCTTGGCTAGTGTTTCCTCTGTGCCAAATTTCTAACAACAGTAATGTAGTCTAGTACAACATCACTGTAAAATACAACCTCGACATTAAAAAGTCATTATATTCTCAAATTCCCAACATAGTCAACAAAAAACGAGTAGTATAAAGTTGGTCGTGCTAGATCTTATGGTACAGCCGTTGTATTAGATCGTCCAGGTGTACATAATGAAGTACCCACTGAGTATACATGCCATAATATTTGCTACTTTGTGGTAACTGTTGGATTTTGCACACTTGGATTGATTAAACAAACATTCACACACCTGGCTCTGTATCTGTAGCTGTGACTGGATGGCAACGAGGTCTGCCCACTGAACTGTGGGACCATGAGAGGGGGAAGGCTGGCGGAGCAGGGGGGATCGAGGAGGAAGAGCAGGAGGGCCAAAATCTGAACCATGAAGCCTCTCCCTGGTTGGAAACAAATCTGTAGAGGAAGAGGCGTGTCAGGTTGAGACTGTGAGAGTTCAAACCAGTGTCCTTCTCGCTTCAGCAAGTAACACTCACAACAATGTCCCTTTTAGTCATATAAAGAAACTGACAATAGCTAACCCACCTTCTCCTCCTTTAGCAAATTTCCCTGGTGACGTCAGTCTCTCCTGTGAACACATAAAAACACTTTAAGAGCATTAGGGAATTACCAAACGTTCTCACTCACATCTTTAATCTAGACAACTAAATAACCCTTTAAAAACAACATAGTTCTTGCTCAGGTTCCTTGACGTGGTTTGCAGTAGACAAGGCATCCATCTTGATACACATATTATAAACAACACCGACAATACACAGGCATAACAAAAATAGTTAACGATCCAATAATGTGTCAACTAAAATCTTCTATAGCTGCTGTGCAACATGGCTATAGACTTTTTCATCCATGGAGATGCTGCTGTTGTTTTATACTGCTTTGTTTGACACATTTTAACTATAAACCTCTGTTTAAAAAGATGAAGTTGTAAATTCACAGAGGGAAGGTTGAGTGTCCTTATTTGTACTTGAGCCAGTCATCCCTGTAACTACAAGGACCTTGGGTTAACCGTTAAGCCAAGAGTCACCAATCAATGTAATAACAAGACAATTTAACTCGTTTCAGAGAATTTCTGTCCTAAAACGATATGTTCTTTGCTTGTGAAGACTTATACAAAAATGTAGTTATAAGATGTTGTCCATGAACCCTTTTACTCTAACAGAAAGAGAGGCTTTTTTCACATCCTTTGCTCTTTGTCAAAGTGGTAATTGTGGTCTTCTAGTGAAGCGTCACTGCCATCTACAGATCAAACCAATAATGACAATTACCAGCAGATCACAGGCTCTCTTAAATTGAATAGGTTACTTCTTTTACTGATGCAAACAATAAAAAGTGTCTTTTATTTCCAGCTAGGCTAGTTCATTAAGGTAAGGAAATCTGAATCTACTTACCCTCATCTTTGCAACGCTGCCATCAGCCACTAACAGGATAGAACTCAGCTGAGTGTCCCAGTTCATGTCGGTATTAACCTAGAAAGAAATGCATCAAGTTGTCAATAAATGCTTCATTCATCAGCATTAGTCAGTTAATTTTGTTATCCTTGGCGCAAAAACACGACTTAAATAAGTGTTGTGTGGACAGTGACATTGCAACATCAAAAACCACTGTGGGATAGTGAGACAGTAACTTTAGACTTGCTTTGTGGCTGGGCTGTGAGGTAACACCTAGTAGAGATCTCTGACACTCTGATGGGGATTAGGTTACAGCAGGGGTTGACATTTTTTTGCATGTTTGTAGTGATGTTTATTAGCTGGTAAAAATGTGCAGGCTGTCTGGCAATGTAAGGAGCCTACATTGATCTCCAGAATGAGTCTGAAGTGTTTTATGATGTGGACCTGGACAAATATTCTCTATATGAGAAAAAACAACCCATTTTTGCATTTCCAAAACGGATGAATCTGTCCTCAATCTGAAACTGTGTTTTAAGGAATATCTGGTTTTTGATAGAGACATGATACAATTTGGACTAGATGTGAAAATACAATGGATTATCTCACTTTTATCTATTTACAAATGGGTTTTCTTCAGACAGAGTTGAGACTTCACATAAAATGTCTAACAAGGGCTTTCAAAAACAGAGGATACGTTTTTCTTAACTTTTCACTTAATTATTCCTAATCGTAACCTGACAAATTTAGCCTCGTATCTTCAGGACAATGGGGAATATTTTGCCATCTTTAAGGATCAGTAACAGAAACAAACAGAAGATACATGCAAAAACCAAGGACACTAAGCAGGGTTCCCAAAACACACCAGTCATGATAACGCGAAGGGGGCGTAGCGACTATAAAGAGCCTCTGATTTAACCGAAGCTAATTTCAGTTAGCAGGTGACTGACAGCGTTTATAACCTTGTTGTCTTGGTTGGAAAAATAATGACTAACCGTTTCTTATACACTTAGTGAGTCTTCTTCTGATTATAACATGCGAACCGGTCGCTGAGAAGAGAATAGTTAATGTCAAAGGAAAACAATACAAATGTTTAGGTTAGCTGGCTAGTCAGGCTAACGTTACTCACAGAAAATCTTGCGACTCCACTTTTAAATCCAGGAGCCCATAACGGCGACGTGATTGCGTATGACGTAGCCGCGTGTTGACTTCTGGGAATTGTAGTATATGGTGACTATTGTCTTTACCGGCAAAATAGGTAAAGAGCATCAATAGACTTTCTCAGAAACAATATACATTGTATATAATATTGTTGTCATTCCTTGTTAGAAGAGATTTTTAAAGAAAAGGCACGAGATTAGTTTTCTGACAACGGTTAATTAAAAAACACCATATCCCACAATCCAAAGCTTTGTATTGACATGCAGCAATGGCGGCTTCCACTACCAATGTGGAAAGCATTACAGCACTGTTGGATAACTATTTATCAAAAGTTGGATTTGAAGTTTACCCTCTTAAGGTATGTTTGCACTTGTGTATTTCTTGATAGCCGGAAGGACTTAAAAGTGGGGGAAATACAATTTAATGCATCTACGGTACTATACTGCCTGTGTTGTTCTCTGACTGTCCCAACATGTCCACAGGTCGGATGGTATAACTCTCTGCTTCCTCCCACCCTGCGCCTCGCTCACCCAGATGACTGCCTGGCTGTGGTGGTGCTCAGCACTCCTGCTTTGTTTGAACAAGCCTTCCTGCCCTTCGTGGAGGAGAGGGGCTGCCAGGGACTGTCTGACCCCATAGACCAGTGTGTCAAACGCTGCGTCTCCTCTGCTGTGTTGCAGGTAAGTGGTGTAGCACAATTTTGACTAAAGGTATTTACTTATAAAGTTGCAGACTGCAGCTTATTATACCTGCCCTTTGTGCATAGCATGATCTAATAGGATACAGAAACAGAAACCAAGGCAAAGTTCTAAACGTCTGATACATACAAATAACCATATCTCAATTTTATTTGTTTATAACCAACTCAAATGTATATTTTTAAAGTGTTATTATTTGCCATTGCAGCAGACAAAACGAGTTTTTATGATCAGTTCAATTGGAATTTAGATATTTCCATGATCAGGTTGTAACCCCTCAATATGCCCATCTCCCCTCCCCGTGCTGCAGTGTTTCCCAGGACAGGAAGTGGATGTGAGGTACGACTACGAACTGCTTCCCAGCAGGAAGCCGAAGTTCTTGGCACAGACTGCGGCTCACGTGTCCGGAGCAGCTTACTACTACCAACAGTCTGATGTCAAAGACCAACCCTGGGCTGAAAAAGTAACGCTATTCAATAATGAGGAATCTAAATGTTTAAGTCTTATTACACTCTTGTAGTGCAATGTTTCCATTCTTAGCTTTCCCCCTCTCTTACTCACAGAAGATGTTCGGAGTGTGTGTGCATCCGAGGTTCGGGGGCTGGTTTGCCATCCGCGCCCTGTTGGTGTTTGGAGGTGTGACGGTGGGCTCTGAGATGGTGCAGCCTCCTCCTCCTGACTGTGTGCCGTCCAGAGAGGGCAGGATTCAGCTGCTGGAGGCCTTCAACTATCGCTGGCAGGTACAGGACCTCAGCACTGTCATCCATAATACCTGAGACACAAACTTGAATGGACCACAGGGGAAACCAAACGCTTTAATGTCAGATCTCCAGACCGATGGCCTTTAGATTAGAGACCCCCAACTGTGGTTGTCTATCCGATATATGTCCGTTGTCTGTACTGTAGGTGCTGAGATGAGAATATAGATTTCAACATGATTTGTTCTATATTCTTTTATATAAGGACCTCACATTTTGCTGGATAAAAAAAGCAAGTATTTTGTTTGAGGATAATGTGTGAAATATTTTACATGTAAGTAATTTCAGTTTTATTGACAAGCAATTATTTTATTCTGTTGAGTAATTTGTCTCCCTGGATTTTGGTGGAGAGATATTGTTTGTGATTCTAAGCACATTTTAGACAACAACTCTAGGGTATGTTCGAATGGGTGTTCATCCTGTTATTAACTTTATGATGAATCAAAGTTAATCAGAAATCTTTTCCATCCTCAGGACTGGAGCTACAGAGACATCGTCCGCCCAGTCCAGATCTACTCTCAGAAACAAAAAGACTACTTTGCAACTCCTCCTGCTGAGCGGTTTGCTCTGCTAAAGACTTGGGGTTTCTTTTCGAGGGAAAGCGATCAACCTGATCCAACATCAGACACAGAGAGTCAGGTGACCGGACATGGCTGAAACAGCTGAAGAGTGGAAGTATTGCAGATCCTCTCTGAGAACAAACCTCCACTGCTGAGCTTGTAAGGCTCTGCTGAAAGCTTTTTAAGGTACAAGGGATACTTTTCAGGCACTTGCGCATGAACATCAACTGCTTTATGGCCTTCTTATGATGTGTTTCATCATAGTCTTCACTACATTTGTCCACACCATTGAGAAAAGGCAGTTCCTAGCATCTGAAACAGGAACATACTTGGATCTATGAATATGTTTTCAAAATGTGCGCTGCTGATGCAAACTGTGTGAGTTTGTTTAAACCAATTATTTTGAGATATTATTTTTTAAAAGGAACATTGTACATGCTGGTAAATGAACCCAAAGAGAACAAACACTCCTTCTGGAATATTTACATTTGCTTATATATTGAGGCCATAAAATAAACAAAAGATTAATGTATGACTCCATGGATCTTATTTTAACAAATATTATGTAAGGTTAGAGACCCTATCTAGATTGACTAAAATCAGGAAAACAATCACACTGAAGAAGAAAAAAGGATTGCTTCCCCATTATACAAAAAAAAAGCAAACGTATCTTTTTTTTTATAAATACTGGTTGAATTTGTCCAAGTTTTGAGTTTTTCCTCTGAGGTTTTTAACTTCAACCCATTATAATGTGGCCATTAACATTATTTTATTGTAACATACTGAACATTTATTCAGCAAATGACTGTCAGATTAAATAGGGGTTATGATAAAACAGAATTCTGCTTTGATGCTTTAGAAATGTGTGAATTATACCTCCAGAACTATAACTTTATTTTATGATGTGACTCCAGAGTATTTGTGCCATCCATCATCTCTTTTCAGCTTCATCCTTGTCTCCAGTTTACCTGACACTAAGCTTGATGCATTATAGATGTGAGCTGGCTCCCCCCCTGGTGACAGACTGACTACTTTCAACTGTGACTAACCCCTCTGTTTGTGGGTCAGCAGAGTATTTCTTTCTTTTTTATATAATACATTTTAACAAAGCTACATTTACATAGACCAATGACAAGCTACCTCCAACACCCAATGACCACTGAGAAATTCCACCAACCAGTGGGGGGGGGGGGGGGGGGAGTTTTTCATCTTTTTATAATTTGTCTTCTTCTTCTGCAACAAAGCAGGTACTTGTGTCTATCACCAGGTCTTCAGTAGAAACTCAGTGCAGATTAAATATCTTGTTACACCTCTAGATGTCGCTGTTCTCCAAATAACACAAAGTGTCCACTCTTGTTTCTCAGCAACATCTGCAGTTGTTCAATAAGGTGCTCAATAAAGTGTAACTGCAGGTAACCCACCTCTCATCCTAAAGTCTACAATCTATCCTCTGAAACTGTTAAGTTAGTCTTATATCATAGATATTTCATGTTATTTTTCTTTAAGCAGCTTAACTTTCTCCTGCCTTCACTGTTCACTCTTCGCTTTCATCATTTGAGAGTTTTCGTCCCGCTGAGCTATCTATTGCTTTATTTTACATTATCTCTTCATTAAAACACCACCTCTAGCTCCCTCTTACTGCATCCCTCTCCTCTCCCCTTTCTCCCTCACTGTGCTACTCCGTCTATCTGTATACTGAATCAGCATTTTAGAGCAGTATGCCGCAGGCCTGCAGAGAAGCAGACCATGGAGTTAATTATACTCCCCCAGATACTCAATCTCTCCTCCATCCCCTTCCTCTGTTGCTCTATCCCACCTCTCTTCCTCCCCCCTCTCTCACTTTTTGTTCTCTCTTTCAATGTACATGACTTAAGTCAGATAACTCTGCAGTTACAAGTCACATCAGAATGACTATCTGTTTTAGTTATTTCACTATATTCATCACAGGTATGATGTGCTTTAAGCAGAGTAAAGTCTAAGCAGAATAATAACTAAAAGATAAATGTGTTGCACCATTTTCCTTTTTGTCTACCACACAACATATGTTGACCACAAAACTAGACAACAAGAAAACTTTTCAGACTCCTTTGATGCCTCTTGAAAGGTGGACGGATAATTGTCTTTGGGGAAATTGGTCAGAGGGAGAAGCCGAGCCTCCAGGTCTCAGGGTTTCCAGGTCTCTGTTGTTGTGGGTGAGAAATCAGTTTTTCCTCTAATGTGTGTACAGCATGCCTCACCACCAGTAGTACAGTGATATCAGAGTGGAACATGTAGGCTGCGAGTCAGAGAGAATCAGTTAAGGTGCAAATTAAGATGGATGCTCCTGAAGATGCAGCTTCCTCTTTTTCCCTCTGTTTAGTTTCCTCATGGAGTTTGTTTTACTTCCTCAGATATACTCAAACTCTCCTATTTCCCCTTCTCTGTTGCTCTTATACCTTTCTTCCACCCCATCTCTTTCTCGTTTTCTTTGTGACTCCCTACATGATTTATAGCCAGCTAACTCGACACATCCAAGTTTCCAGTCACATCCAAATGTACTGCCTCTGTTGTTGTGGGTGAGAAATCAGTTTTTCTCTAATGTGAGTACAGCATGCCTCACAAGTTGTACCTGCAGTACAGTGATATCTAGAAGTGGGATATTTAGAGAAAACAGCTAAGATGCGAATAACATAGTAGGATATGCACTGGAAGATCCAGCTTCCTCTTTTCCGTATTCTCAAATATCTCCACAGTGCAACCCTTACACTTGTTTGTGCTGTATTGCAGAGACAGTAATGCACTTTGACTGCGACACAGATAGCTACAGAGCGTTTGTGCTCGTAAAAAAGACAATCAGTTTAGACTCGGTCTGTTACAGGGACAACTTTTCAAATCTACTGGGTGCTGCTCACTTAAATCCAGTAATGACATTTGTTGTGCACAGCAGGAATGAACTGCTGCTGAGATTTGAGAGTTTTGGGCAGAGATGAAAAGAAGATAAATAAATGAAAGAAAAGAGCATGAGTGGTGTGTCATGAGTTGTGGATCAGTGAAGCAGTGTTATCCGCCCACAGACATCCGTTAACAAGAAGAGAGGGGAAAGGCCAGCAGCACACCAGCACAGAGGAGGAACCGAGCGTTGAGTGGGGGGGAGGAAAGTCCAGCATCCAGAGGATTCAGTCAAATGTAGTACTCCACATTAGTGTTTGAAACTGATGGAAATAAGGATGCTGGAAACATTGAGTTCTTGAATATTATCCAGAGATAGAGATCTGAGAAAAAAGCCAAGAGTTTAATTATAACTCGTTTCTCTTTCTCTCTATTTCCTGGATTTCCTCTCTCTGCTTACTCTGACAAAATTGCCTTATATTCTCACACTGCATCTCTCTAAAGCACACTGCCTCGGCGTGAGCGTGTTTCCAGAGGGTTTACATTTTTCAAACCGTCTCCTTATCAGTTTCATGGATTAGCATAATTAACTAGTCCTCTGCCTCACAATTCCCCCCGCAGCCAATCGGTTGTTGGCGCTGGCTGCAGAGGCCAATGGGGAAGCCAATACACGGGAGTGTGAGTGGTCAGCCAAGGACAGATTATCTCATTATCTGACTCGAGCAGGCGTTCAATTAAAGACTTCCCTCTTTTCTACTCTCAACACCTTTTTATTAAGTTGTTAGAAAAAAACATCAAATGTATTAAAGTATAACAAACTCTGTTGAATCTCGTGCAAAACATTTTTCATCGTAATGCTTAATGTTCTCTAATTTCCCTCCTGCATCTTTCTTTCCCAGAGGCACAAACATGCATTAAACATGACAACATGCGCAGCTCATTTAGTGTGACACGGCCGCTGAGTCCACATGCAATCACAAGACCCTCGTTCCCTCGATTAGCCAGCAAATAATGTGCAGCAGGCACTGACAGGGCATGTTGTTCATGTAGTGGAAAATACTGCAAGCAGCCCTGCAGCTACAGGGATATCCACATACTTACTGGCATACTTAAAATACTTAAAAAGAATGGAAAATTACCAAGCTAGTACCACTACATGTTTTTAAAGCTCGTTTGGATGCTACAAAATCAGATGCTGTTGGTACCTGTACTTGTGGTTAAATATGTAAATTGTAATCCCTGTACATTTTGCTGTATGATGTCCTTTTGTTGTTCTGTTGTTTATGTCTTCTTGTGGAACCTACTGCTGCAGGTCTCCCTTGAAAAAGAGATCATTGATCTCAATGGGATTTTACCTGGATAAATAAAGGTTTTGAAATTGTTGAAATTGATTTGCAATTGTATCTTCTTGTAGAGTAAAGATTGCTGGCCAAAGTTTGTCAATGTTGAGGGCGTATGAATAGAATTACTCCTGTTCTCTCAGGGGAATGACAACAAAACAACATTTACCTGACTCCCCGTTGACTCCACTATACACCAACCATCAAAGAACAGTCAGACAGGAGGGAGGATTAGTCGGGCTAAGGTTCCTCTTACATAATCCACCATTCTGGATTATCTTAATTCCCCTGAGAAGGTGATACACTGAACTCTTTGAAAAAAAAATGTGGAGACTCATCTCTACATTATAAATCTTCACGAGAGAAAGTCTTACTGCACCTCTCTGCAGTTAATTTCTAAGGTTTGAAGATGAGGCGCAGAGTTATCCCATAACGTTTAGGGTTCACCTTGATTAATGCTGTAAGGAAATTGAGGCTCAGTATCTTAGTTTAACTGCATCCACAAGTAACAATGTTGTAGAGTTTATCAGGAGCACAATTGATTCAACAAACTGACTCGGTGACGTCTGTCGTACAGCAATCTGAAATGATCTGACATCAGCTAACCCACCTTCAGCTGCAATTCAATACCGCAAAACCCTTTTATTATTAATGTATAACCGGTACAAGGAAAATGTGTTGTTAATTATTTACTTCAAGCCGAAAGTTTGGGCTGACAAACTACAACTTATTCCCTTTACAAAGCTTACAGGGTACATTTTCTATAACCTCTGCTCAAAGGAAACTGAATCTTTAAAATGAATTGGGGTGCTGGGGAGTAGTACTACATACAGTTTGTAAAAAAAACCTTCGTGGCACATACATTCCTGTTGACCAGAAGTTTGATTAAATATATTTTGTTCTAGTCAGCAACTTCTTAATTTCAGAGACCTTAAAGGGGCCTTATTATGCTAATGTTCAGGTTCATATTTGTGTTTTATGCTTTTTATTGTGACTTATTGTTAATGTTCAAAAGGGTTTTTATTTATTTTTCTCATACCTCTGTGCTAGTTAGCACCTCTGTTCACCCTCTGTCTGAAACCAGAGCCCAGTCTGCTCTGATTGGTTAGTTGGCCGGCTCTGTTGTGATTGGTCAACCACTTAGAGATATCATGTACAATGTGTTGGAGCACTAGCCAATAGAATAGTGAGTGTTACATAGTGATGTCATTAAGTAAACAACAGAGTCTAATGGAGAAAGGGGGAGGGGGAAATTAGGCCCTTTGTGTTATGGTTTAGGTGTTTTGCTTTCTCCTCCTGATTTGATTTGATTTGATATACTTTATTAATCCCTGTGGGGAAATTGCTTCTCTGCATTTGACCCATCCTGTGTTGCCATTTTGTACGGCGTCCGGGGAGCAGTGTAGGGAACGGTGCCTTGCTCAGGGACACCTCGGTAGCACTTGGTCTTGCCGGGACTTGAACTGGTGACCTTCCAGTTGCCAAGCCAAGTAACTTATCACTGGGACAGTTCATCTTCGTAAATAGACGGAGGGTTTCAGCCATATTTCAACATTTTTACGACGACGTCAGTCTTACAGTAGCGTGGCCTAGCAACAGCTAAAGCCTGGTAGGCTACTGCATGCTATTTAGCTAGTTGGTAGCAAAATGCCTCCGTTCTCTACAGATGACTTCCAGAAACGTATACAGAAGATGGCTGTGTTGGAAATGAAAATGCAACGGTTGGAAGTTAACGTGGAAGTGAATGGACTATGTCGTGGGAATGACACCACTTTACCAGTGTTGCAAAATAATGGAGAAGGGTATGCTAACTCACAGCTAGTTAGAAGCTACAAGGATTCCAAGGAACAGGAGGGCTGTGTACCGGGTAATAAATCTACAAGTGGTAGTCCTCCCTGGAACTCTCTGGGTGCAAAGCCTAAGAGTAAATCATTTCCATGGGATTTGGGTGGACGGATAACAGGCAGAGCCCAGAGCTCCGAAATCTGTGATGCGACCGGCTGGCCTGCATTGTTATCACCCAGGAAGAGCGCCTCTTCAACCCCTATTCATACTAGGAAACAGCAGTGGACAGCTGCTAAAGGGAGAATTACGAACAATCCTCCTAAACCACCAAGTGTGCCAATCCAGAACAGATACGCTCCGCTGACCGAGAACCGGAGATCTGATGACCTGGATAACCTTTCCTCTTCACACAGCAGGGTAAGGACCAATAGCTACTCCAAAAGTAAAAGGCTAGAGGGAAAGCGAACGACTGGGCCTGAAACTCTGATTGTGGGTGACTCTGCTGTAAGAGAAGTAAAAGGTCTGTGTAATAAGAACAACACCAAAGTACTCTGTTTTCCCAAGGATGTGGTCTCTGACTTGGCTGAGAAGATCCTGCATATTGGGGCTGAACATCCGACTGTGAAGAATGTGGTACTGCACATTGGAACAAATGATGTTGTGAAACAACAGTCAGAAGTGCTGAAAGAAGACTTTAAATGTTTGTTGGAAACTGCCAGCTCTCTAAATGCAGAGGTGTTCATCAGTGGCCCTCTACCGCCAGTCAGAAGAGGAGTGGAGAGATTCAGCAGATTGTTTGCACTGAACACCTGGCTTTCAACTGCCTGTACTGACCATTCTGTTCATTGTATTGACAATTTTTTATTTTATATTTATTGAGTTTGCCTGAACAAGTCAGGAGTGAAATTGTTTATCTCTAACATATTCAACTGCCTGCGTCATCAATCTGTTCCCTCTGCCAAGGACAAGCGGCAAGAGGAATCAAAACAGGAGAAAGACACAACACATCACGCAGAAAACCCTGAAGAATTATCACTGCACCCGCCTGAGGAATGTTCTGATTATGGGAGACCTATGACACACATGGAGGAGTCTCCACTGCCCGTCACCCCCCCCCCTGTCAACACCTTTGAGGATACTCCGTTCACCCTTTCACCCTCGCCCACCCTCCTGGAGATCGCTGAACACACAAAGGAGATACAGAGGGTTGGCACCGATTCCTTCCTGGAGTTCAAAGACCAAACGAAGGCGATACGCAGGATTGGCAGCATGTCCTTTACCCCCGCTCCTTAACGACGCCCACCAAAATCACTGCAGAGACGCGCACCATCTCCCCGTCCTCATCACCGCGCCTACGTCAACCACCTTCCCCCCCCTGGCAGCATGTCCTCTACCCCCGCACCATCTCGCCCGTCTCCATCACCGTGCCTACGTCAACCACCTCCCCTCCCTTCAAGAAAGCATCTGCAGTCTCCGAAGCCTGATAAGGATGTGTGTGTACAAAACACAACAAACTCTTACTGATATGTGATGGGTCCAGGCTCAAGGGCGTATGGCACTCTCAACTCTTTCTAGGACATGTCGGGGCCCTGCCTGCCAGTAGCTTTGCCGATATCTGTGTTGATAGGTAATAGATTAAGAGCGGTGAATCATAGAAACAGGAAGCGCTCAAACGTTTGTGTGAGTTTATCTAATTTAGCAGTGATTCAATGTCAGCCACAGCTTGTTACAAAAAACATGACTGATAGGGTGTTTAACAAACTTAAACTAGCTTTATTAAATGTCAGGTCTTTGGCAGGAAAAACATTTTTAATCAATGATTTTGTCACTGAGCACAATCTCGATTTTATGTTTTTAACAGAAACTTGGATTGAACAAAATAACAGTGCAGCTGTTCTTATCGAATCAACCCCTCCCAACTTTAGTTTTATGAGTCAGGAAAGAATGCATAAGAAAGGGGATGGAGTTGCTATTCTGTTCAATGATTCCCTTCAATGCAGGAAGACATCGTATGGAAACTTTTATTCTTTTGAATATGTGGCCCTTCAGCTGAAATGCTCCTCTCGAGCTCTGTTCCTAAATATCTATAGACCACCCAAATACTGTGCAAGCATTTTTGATGACTTTACTGAACTGCTGTCTATAGTGTGTATTGACTTTGACCGTCTAGTCATTGTTGGTGATTTTAACATCCATGTTGACAACCCCCAGGACAGAGGGGCTAAAGAACTGTTTTGTGTTCTTGATAGCTATGGACTGACTCAGCATGTGACGGAGCCCACGCACAATAAGGGGCACACTCTGGACTTAATTATCTCAAAGGGTCTGAATATCTCTAAGGTTGTGGTGACTGATGTTGCACTCTCTGACCATTCCTGTGTTTTCTTTGAGAGCTCTATTTCTGTTCACAAAAATGTTCAAAAAGAGGTAACCACAAAGCGATATTTAACTGAAAATACTAGGGAAATGTTTACTCAGAATTTTTCTTCCACACTTGCCCCTGCTAACATCTCAGTAAATGAGCTAGTAGTTCATTTTAATTCAAAAATTAAAAATGTTATAGATGCCATTGCTCCAACTAAGGTAAAGGAAGTGTCTGGCAAGAAAATATCTCCATGGAGAAAGGCCATGACCGTGAAAACAGAAAAAAGAGAATGTCGAAAAGCTGAACGCAGGTGGCGAAAAACAAATCTCCAGGTTCACTTTGAAATCTATAAAGAGAGACTTGGCCTTTATAATTTGGAATTGAAAAACGCACGACAATCGTTCTTCTCTGACATCATTAACAAAAACAACGCACGTGCCTTGTTTGCTACCGTCGACAGACTAACTAACCCCCCAGTGTCAGTAGCCTCTGAATTTCTATCCACCAGGGCGTGCAATGATTTTGCCTCCTTTTTCACTGACAAAATTCAGAAAATCAGACAAGCAGTCAGTGCCTCTGCATCAGGAACAGCAAATGTGTTGTCTCTGTGTCCACTTAACATCAATTCAAACACCATGACACAATTCCATCAGATTAATGATAAAAACCTAGAGGACATTATACAACTTCTGAAATCCTCCTCCTGCTGCCTTGATATTATTCCAACAGGATTTTTCAAAGATGTTTTTCCTTGCATGGCCTCAGATCTACTTCATATAGTAAACAAATCTCTTTACTCAGGTATTTTTCCACAGGCCCTGAAAACTGCAGTCATTAAACCGCTCTTAAAAAAGAATAATCTAGATGCTTCAGTAATGAACAATTACAGGCCCATATCAAACCTGCCATTTCTAGGTAAAATCATTGAAAAAGTTGTTTTTCAACAGTTGAGTAATTTCTTGCATTTAAATAACTGTTTCGATGTGTTCCAGTCAGGCTTTCGTCCAAACCACAGCACTGAGACTGCTCTTGTAAAGGTCTTTAATGACATCCACTTAAACACAGACAGTGGCAGAACTTCAGTGTTAGTATTATTAGATCTCAGTGCTGCGTTTGACACTGTTGACCACAGCATATTACTAGACCGACTGGAAAACTGGGTGGGACTTTCGGAAACAGTTCTAAATTGGTTTGAATCCTACTTAAAGGACAGAAACAACTTTGTTTCTATAGGTAAATACACATCTGAGTTGACAAATATGACATGTGGGGTTCCTCAAGGCTCCCTCTTGGGGCCTCTTCTCTTTAACATCTACATGCTACCACTGGCTCAGATAATGAAAAACAACAAAATAAGTTACCATAGCTATGCAGATGACACACAAATTTACGTAACAATTTCACCAGGAGACTATGCTCCAATTCAAACACTGAGTAAGTGCATTGAACACATCAATGACTGGATGTGTCAGAACTTTCTCCAATTAAACAAAGATAAAACTGAGGTAATGGTTTTTGGAGCCAAGTCAGAACGTATAAAAGTTAGCGCTGAGCTTCAGTCTGCAATGTTCAAAACAACAGATAAAGCCAGAAATCTAGGTGTAGTCATGGACTCTGACCTGAGTTTCAACAGTCACATTAAAACTGTTACTAAATCAGCCTACTATCACCTAAAGAATATATCTAGGATTAAAAGACTAATGTCACAGCAGGATTTGGAAAAACTTGTCCATGCTTTTATCTTCAGTAGACTCGACTACTGCAATGGTGTCTTCACAGGTCTCACTAAAAAATCTATTAGGAAGCTGCAGCTGATTCAGAACGCCGCTGCTCGAGTCCTCACTAGCACTAAGAAAGTGGATCACATCACTCCTGTTCTGAAGTCTTTACACTGGCTTCCTGTGTGTCAAAGAATAGATTTCAAAATACTGCTGCTGGTTTATAAAGCACTGAATGGTTTAGGCCCAAAATACATTTCTGACCTCCTGCTAAATTATGAACCATCCAGATCTCTCAGGTCTTCAGGGACTGGTCAGCTTTCTGTCCCCAGAGTCAGAACTAAACATGGTAAAGCAGCGTTCAGTTATTATGCTCCAAATATCTGGAACAAACTCCCAGAAACCTGCAGGTCCGCTGCAACTCTGATTACTTTTAAATCCAGGCTGAAGACTTTTCTTTTTGTCGCTGCTTTTAATTGAACTATTCATATCTTAGACTGCACTGTAACTTTGATCCATGTACTTTTTTCTTTTAATGTTTATTTTATTAGCTTTTCTTGTTAATGACTGATTTTAAATGCCATTTTCTTAATCTCTTTCATTTTTTGTAAAGCACTTTGAATTGCCTTGTGTTGAAAAGTGCTATATAAATAAACTTGCCTTGCCTTGCCTTGAACGTCGTAGTATCCTAGCTTAGTGTGATTTTCTCTTGCTGTTTTTGTTGAAGAGTAACCTTGTTTTTTTCCTCTGTTTTTCCAGTGTCTGCTCGAGCCAGCCTGAGTCCTGCCGCCGCCACCGGCGTGAACTAGATCCACCTTCATTTTGTGGATTGTTTTTTAGTTGCTCCTTTTTTCCTTTATTAAACTTTGTTAAATGACTGAATCCATCTGGTCTCTGCCATTGTAGGTCCTGAACTTTTGACCCAGCCCTAACACTTTGCACACCATTTACATGCACACAAACCTATATAATGAACAGGAAAAGGAAAACAACAGGGCCTCTTTAAAAAAAAACTGAGCTTAGCAGTGATCATCACACCTTTTTAAAATGGTACACAGCAAAGAAATAAGAAAGGCATCCACTGAGTGTAGATAACTGTATCAGGAAAAACTGCACCAAAGCCAATCATACATGCCTGAAAAGAGGTCTGGAGAACTGAATGAGAGTGTTGATTGATTGTTTATAGAGTGAAGAAAATACTTAAAGTAAATTTAGACCGAGGAGGGGCTTTCTCGCTCCTTCCTGCTTCTTACTGAATGATTGCAGTCTGCTCTGTCCCTCGCATGCCTGCTGGGCTGCTGTGGTAAAAGCTCATATGGTGCTATGAGCTAATTTATAGCTGCTTTGTGCATTAAGTATTACATCACAGCTGACGAGGAACTCTAAATCTGCCACTTATACGAGATTAACTCCTGCTGCTTTGGCTCTGCCCACATGAAACATCATCCATCTTTTTTTGTTCTCTTTCTTTCCTTCTGTTTTCTGTTCATATATATAATCAATGTACTTGTCAGACGTCCTCCTGTGCCCTTTTACCTCCCTGCCTTTCACCTCTGAGGCCCACCAGAGAGGGTGTTTTGTTGTGTTGTGTTGCTCAGCTATGGAGGAAAATTATGCTTACTCTCAGTTATCATTACCGGTGATTACTCTCTGTGGAGTATGTGGCACTCTAGGTAGAAGTGTGTGGGCTCCCAGGTTTAGGTTGTGATGACCATTTTGTGAAGTAAATATACGTGGTACACTTATCCCACTCACTGAGTTGAGTTACTGATTTGAACTTTAAGATCAGACTTTGTTGATTGAGTTTAGATTTGACAATAGATTGAAGCATAGCATGGTAAACAAAAAAGTCCTGGAAATCAGGGTTAAGAATTCATTTTTGGCCTTAAGAATAAAGTGTTTGGATGTGTGTGTTGAGTGCCTTCCATCCACCCACCATCATGCATCCTGTGTTTTACATCCTGACCATAGCATTACTTGCAGAGTGCCGCAGGCTTAGAAATGTAGTCTTATTGGTAGTTTAGTGTCAATGAGAACCACTAAGTGAAATATCCCTTGTAATGGAGATCATAGGTCAAAGGCTCAGTGAAGCCAAACATTTAAATATTCACATATTCATATGGAAATATAATCTGAGAAAACAAGAAGAGTTCTCAGCGCACCTTTTGTCCACCATTCAGCATCAATATGTGTCTTGAGAGAACGGATGAATTCATTAGGCTCAGAATGACCTGCTATGACGAGCAATTTAGTTTCAAACACAGTTTGAGGCACCTGCGGGAGAGAGGAAATTAGCATTTTAAATAGGTACGATTATAGGCCAGGCCACTGTGTGTGTGTGTGTGTGTGTCTTTGTGTGTATGCACACAGAAATCTGCTTCTACTCACTTACTTGAGTAACACATTGCTGGGATTTATGCTATCTGAAATATTGATACAACATAATGCTCTCTTCCCACGCCTCAATGCCCTCTTTATAAATAGCGTGCCGGTGAACACAGCTGGAGCGCACTTCTGAGAGCACTTGAATCTGACACACACAAAGAATCCACTCTGCCCTACTCTTACATTTAGCTGGCAGGCCTTACAAAATATTTACCGGAGTGATCATTTAAATTACAGATGGCTTTGATATAATAGTTAAAGCATTTCAGCTTTGAAGAGAAATAGACTAGCTGGGAAAACACAGATTTAGTCAGTTTGAAATCAAATCTTATATATCAGATGAATTGTCACTAGAAATGGTTCCCATCATGATGAAGTTGATTCACTTTGGTAACTTTTTTAAACCAAAACTACTAACATGGCTGGACTTTTAGCGACTGTTAGATGACTAACATGCTAAACTTAGATGCTGAGCATAACAAACCAGTTAAAGTGAAATTATTTGTTGGTTGCGGTTTGTTTACAACATTTAATTTTACCCGTCCACCGTCCACCATCAACGAGAGGTAACAGTGCTCTCTGGCAGTTGAAAGCCATTCCCAGATTAACTTTGTTGTTTATTTGCATTTGCATTCATTTGTTTTTTTTCTGTTTCTGCCATTTTGTAGTTTCCTATTGGATGCCGAATTACGATCTGGCACCGGTACAATTTGTATTTATGAAGCTTAAGGTTCAGAAATGTCCAGATTACCTCAGAATGCAGGGTCTCTGCAGATACAACAACAGTCAACACTGATTTGTGAAAATCTCCCAAAAATGACAAATATTGTGTAACACCAGACAATCATATTTAAACCGTGCCACTCACTGACCTATGGTTTCTGGGTTTGTTTTAGCGCCTGTATGCAGTCAGGGTGGGACGATATGTGTGTGTGTTGAAGGACAGGTGTGTGTTGGATACACAGCATGAAAAGGTTCTACCTACAAGCTGCAGTATGCAAATGCTCTCCCCTGTGATGGCTATCACTGAGCTCGTTTGGAGTGACAGCAGAGAACTCATCATCTTTCTGTAACGGGCCAAAGAGCTATGCTCAAAGATTCACTTCAGATAAATTACTGAGGTTTTTTTAAAGAGCTTAATAACCCAGCAGAAGGATTTTTCTGACACAGGCGCTATTTATTAGCATAAGCTGAAGAAGAGAGTTGAAAATAATAGCAATGGTTTTGCATATACCTACGGAGCCCTGGAGGGTTCATTGAGAGAAAAATAAATAAAACGTGGCCACGTTTTATTTATTTTTCTCTCTATGAACCCTCTGATGATTTCTTTTTTTGTGAACAATCACAGCATAAAAGCAGGTGTTAGACATTTATCAGACTCAGAGATATTTAAAATGATTCTCCAAGCTGGCATGAGGTACATTTTGTGTACAAATTTGTAGTTTAAAGGCTCATGATTTGCAAGGTTTTAGATCATCTGAAGGAACAAAGAGTGCCGGCACCAGTCAGAAGCTGAGTTTCTTAATTTGTCATTAAGAAGAGTAACTATAGGGAGCTGGCAGGTGGGAATATATTCCAGTGATATCTCAACAAATAAAACAGAACAGGTTGGGAATAATCTTACTGTTATTGACAAGTTTAAAGGTGTTGCTCATTAGATAACATTTCACATGTGTATTCCTCCCCATGGAGGGAATACTAAAGCAGAGGAAGAAATGCACACAAAGATAAATTCTCTATTCCCTGCCTGAGAGAATCAAGCCAGATTTAAATAGATGTAGAGGTTATAAAGTTTGAAAATAGAAATGGGAAAGCCAGAGCACCCGAGTAGCTCACCTGTTAAACCTCTCTCCTTTTTACTGTCTATCTTCAACGCACATTGATCAACATGTCTTTACATGTGCCAGTGTTGGCCAGCTGGCTAGTAGTTATTTGGCAAAATGTCTTGAAACAAAAGAGTTGATGGATCAACTTTACAGACAGAAGAGAACAGACATGAATATAGCAACACGTTAAGACCCCATTTACACGGGAACGCAAACGAAACGCAAACAAACCGAATTCGATATAAAAAAAGTATTCCGTTCACACGGATACGGCTCAATAAACGTGTCCCTTCACACGAGACCGCTCGACCAAATGGAGACGCTGGAGTACATATGCCGGACCTGTAAGTGGCGCTGTACTTCCGCCCAGTGCTGGAATTGGGCCGGTACTCACCGGTACGCAGTACCGGCACTTCTGGTTCTGACCCATGGAGTACCGGCACTTCTTGCTCAGTACCGGCATGCTGGCGGTACTCGGGTACTCATGCACCGTGCCAGTACTCAACACTCTCCCGCCGTTCTTATTATACATCCATATATATATATACAGCCGCCCGGTACTCAGTAGATGCGTCATGAGGTGCCGAACGGACATTCTCATCGCTCTAACCGCTGGAGTTTCACAGCGGCTGTCAGCTGTTTACTCCTGTCATTCAAACAGAACGTGCTGGAGAGGGGGCGGGGCTTATCTTCTCCATGTAAATACTGTGGTGGAAACGACTATGTCAAAATTAACCTATTTGACCGTGATTTAATAGTAATACACGTTTCAAAATAATAATAATAATAATGCCGAAGTAACAACATACTGAAAACTGTTAGTAAAACCATGTTTTAATGCTTTACAATTTACATACCTAGATGCACGTGTGTTGTGTTTATGCAGTGCAACTCCCACCCAGTGGGTGGCTATGTAGAGTGATAGAACAGAGCAGGCACGCCCCCGAGAGAAGGAAAGCAAGTCACGTCACAAATTAGCATTTCTAAAATGTTAGCGTGGATTAATAAAAGTGCAAAAAGACAGCGGTTGTCGCCGGAAGAAACTTCAAATACAGAGAATGCTGTGCCTGTGTTGGAAATTGTGTCTGATGGGGAGCTTTCTTTGGTTGATCCTCCTGCTCCAAGTTCTAGTGCATTAGCATTAGCACTAGCTCCGCCGCCTCCTCCAGAGCCTCTAAAGTTAGCTGCTGCTGGCGCAACTGCCACCACCAACACCGGGCAAAGCGATGCACCTGACTGCTGGACAACGGACCAGGTGCAATATTTTTGCAAGACCAATGCATGGCTCCTTCTTAAAGATAAGAAGCTAGGATGTCGGATATGCAGAGATGTCAAATCTTTGGGAATACACACTGGACAAGGACTGAAACTGTCAACTGAATGGGGTGAGTGTGCAGTGTCTCATTTCGGTGTTGACAAGGGCAAACAACAAGCTAGCCTGAGAAGAAAAATCAAAGAACATAAAGAATCACAAGCCCATGTAAAAGCTGCTGACATCCTTACATCTGCTTCACGTGAAACTATTCAACATCAAGTGCAGTCTATGCATAAATCTGAATTAGACACCACTATCAGAGTTTTTCGAACGGCATATAAAATTGGCAAACATAGCCGGCCATTCACAGACATGCCAATTGATTTGAATGTACAGAAACTGAATGGGCTGA